CGAGGATTCTTTCAGCACCTAAACGCCGCTTTCTACCCGGAAAAGCTCACCGGAAGCACTTTTTCATCAAAACAAGATGGCGGCGCCCAGCAAACCGGTGGCCCGGTAGAAATTGTTCCACGGACCGCTACCGGTCCGGGGACCGGTGGTTGGGGACCCCTGCCCTAGAGGGAGGGACCATTAATTAGCATTCTTACTCCCGAGTCGCCTGTGCTGCTCTTCCATGAATCCTCCTGCTCTTCCTCACACCCAGCACAGGCTTCTCAGGAACCTCCTCCCGATTGCTGCCGGCGAACCACAACACAAGCAGTGAAATGGCAAATAGTGGTTGTAATAGTGTAAGAACAGGGGTGTCAAACTCGATTTCATTGAGGGCCACATCAGGGTTGTGTTTGACCTCCGGTGTGTGTGTGGGGGGGCAGAATGGGTGTGGCCAGATTGACATCATTCAGGTTCGGGAGGCGCCCAGGGGTGGGTTGCTGGGGGTTTGCAGGAGTTCGGGAGAGCCTCTAGCTAAGATTCTGTGAAATTTGAAGAACCCCCAAATCTCACTCCTGGCTGGCCCTGCCCACTCTGCCCCTTCCCATCCCAGGAATCCCCACATGGCCCATTTTGGATGCCAGGTAAGTGCAGGGTGTGTGTGGAGACTCAGGGAAGGCAAAAAAATGGGCCTCCCAGAAGTTCGAGAAGGCCAGAAATGGGCCTGTTTCTGGCTTTCAGAGAGCCTCTGGAGTCTGGGGAGGCTGTTTTCACCCTCCCAGAAGCTCAGGGAAAGCCTCCGGAGTCCGGGGAGGGCAAAAACACCCTCCCCCAACCATGGTGCAGGAGGCCAACTAGGCCACGCCCACCATGGCCATGCCCACCCAGCAACCAGGCAGAGAACCTGTTGCTAAAATTTTCGAAGCTCACCCCTGGGGGCACCTTGGTGCCCTGAGCTCTCTGCCCGTGAAAACAAACTCCGGAGCTCCGTTTTCGGCTGGGATGGCCTCCTGCAAACCTCTGCCAGTGAAAATGGAGCTCCGGGGGCCAGTCCTTTGCTGGCACATCCATGGACTGGATACGGCCTGCAGGCCTACACTCCTGGTGTAGAAAGTCAGCCCCCAACCCCTCCAGAAGAATGAAATATTTTGGGAAATATTGAAAAGGCAGAATGTTATATTTCCCTAATGGAGAAACATATTTAAAAATAAAAAGACAGAAAGCAGCCTCAGTCTTTCCTAATAGCCCCCAGTAGATATTTTGTGCCCATTAAGGAAGATTGGACCAGCTTATTCCAAAGCAGCCCCAATCTCTCTGTCCCCAAGCAGAAACTGAGGAGGCCAGCTTTTAGAAATGCAGATTTGGTAATCCATTCAGAAAGACGGAACCAAAGGTTGACAAGATTAGCTCATACAAACACCTAGGACTTGCATTTTCTCTTTTGCCTACAGAGCCTATATAAGTGTCCTAAGGGGCGCAGTGGCTCAGTGGCTAAGACGCTGAGCCCGTCGATCAGAAAGGTCGACACTTCGGCGGTTCGAATCCCTAGTGCTGCGTTACAGAGTGAGCTCCCGTTACTTGTCCCAGCTTCTGCCAACTTAGCAGTTCGAAAGCGTGTAAAAAATGCAAATAAAAAAATAAGGACCGCTTTGGTGGGAAGGGAACAGCGTTCCGTGCGCCTTCGGCATTGATTCATGCCGGCCACATGATCACAGAGACATCTTCGGACAGCTCTGGCTCTTCTTCAGCTTTGTAACGGAGATGAGCACCGCCCACTAGAGCCGGAAACGACTAGCACGTATGTGCGAGGGGAACCTTTAACTTTTTGACCCCTACATAACTGCTACATGATCCCAGAGGAATCTGACAATAGGTAATAGAATATTAAAGGACATATTCTTGCCCAGGAACAGGAAGTTAAAATACAAAGCTCAAATTATTAAAACCCCCTCCCCTCAACTCCATTTTGTCAGCTGTCCACAATCACAAACCCACGTAGTTCTGCTTCATCAATAAACCATCCTTCCAATCACCCTCCATGTTTCCGGTGTCTTTCTCCCAGCCTGGAACTGAACCAGATGGATTTTCCTTCCCACAATAGAAACCTAAAGCGTGATTTCTTATTTGCTAGTGTCTTCACTGGCTTCTGTGGCATGGAGCTGATCAGACTGCGGTGACCGTAAGAGGCTGGACTGCAGCTCATTTGGCTGCCATTCGAGGTCAGGATGCCTGCATGCAGGTGAGTGTCTTCATTTAACCCGGTTTAAGGATTAAACTGGTTTAATTAAAAACCTGGATTCATTTGGAAAGGACATTAGTGTTCCAAGTGGATTTCTAGGACAGGTATTGTACATTTCCTAGTTGTCATCTAGGAATTTTTTTTCACTTGTTTCTCCATCTTGGTAACTTTAACATGCCAGCATCCTATCTAAGGAATTCTAGGAGTTGAAATCCACTCATCTTAAAGCTGCCAAGGTTGAGAAATATTGGATTTGAAAGCCATATTGTAATAAACCAGGTTTTGGGGAGGAAGTTAATGGTCAAAGATTTGAAGATGATGTTAAGTTAAATCTCAAAATTTTCAGATTGTCCATATATGAAGAACATATCTTGCCTGGGGATATTGAAGTTTCAGAAGAATGATTCCGTACCAGATTTTAAACTTTGCTTCAGTGAAATTTATCGGTTCTTATCATTTATATTGATGGAGACTGAAGTTTCAATAATTTCTTTATTGTTAGGATTTGGGTTTTCCCCCCTCCCCCACTCATTTAGTTCTCTTGCCCATATGATAATGGATTAAATGAAATCCAGTAGTTTTGTTGGCAGTTCTTCTTTGCAAGCTTTAACGCCATTAAAAATACAACGAAAATCATATTCTCATTACTCCCAGAATGAATTCATTTATTTATTTGGCAAGATGACCTCAATTATAAGATGGGGGCTACTCGCCAACTGAAAGTGGATAAGGATGGAAAGCTCGCAGCCCGGGTTCAAGACCCAGGCATCACATGACAGGGTGAACTCCTGTCCCTTGCTCCAGCTCCGGCCCACCTAGCAGTTCGGGGAAGGGCACAGGCTGGCTGGGCATTCAGAGGAAGACCCAAGCCCACCCCTCTTCATCCTAGGGCACGCAGGGAAGAGCAGATAAGGGAGAAATGTGAATGGCGTGGTCTCCGGGGGAGGAAAGGGCCCTGATCCCCTACATGGGCTGCAGCTGTGCGGACTGTTTAAAAGGACAAACTGCACATGGGCCAGTGCTGGAAGCAAAGCGTGAAATAATTCTAGTCTTTCAGTTCTTATCTGAGTTCTGGCGTCCTTCCCAGCGTGTGTATTCCAATATCTGTGGACGTCTTCAAGCCCTTATCTTGCCTTGTCTCATTCATTTCTTCAGTGTGGTTTGTGTTGTTTTTTTCCTATTTATAATTTATATGTATTTTGAGTTTGGATGGAAGTTCTTCCTTTTCGCAGCTGTTTGTGGGGGAGTTTTTCCTCCAGTCAATGATAATTGGACCTTTGAAGCCAAGTTGAAGGAATTAAAGGGACTTCGCCTATTTTTGTGACTTTGTTGCTTTTGTATCCCACCCTGGATCATCACACAGGCCCTTCATCTCAATGCTGTGAATCTAGGACTCCCAGATGACCTAGGATGTACTCCAGCACATCTGGCAGCGACCCACGGACATTCATTCACTTTACAAACCATACTCCGGAGCGGAGTGGTAAGAAATTAGTGTTATTCCTAATAGGAATCGGCATAATTCACCTTGCTCCTAGTCTTTCCATAACATTTGCATGCCTGTTCTTCAACAGGGGTATCTACAGGGGCAGTCAAAAAAGTCAAAATGGTCACAAGTATGCAATGGAAGCCTGCCCTTTATATAGCAATAGCACTTAGACTTATATACCGCTTCACAGTGCTTTTACAGCCCTCTCTAAGCGGTTTACAGAGTTAGCCAACAATCTGGGTCCTCATTTTTTCCCACATCGGAAGGATGCAAAGCTGAGTCAACCTGGAGCCTGGTGAGATTCGAACTACCAAATTGCAGGCAGCCAGCAGTCAGCAGAAGTAGCCTGCAGTACTGCACGCTAACCACTGTACCACCAAGGCTCTTCAATGCACATTTTACGATTGTGGTCTTGACTTTTGATTGTCTCCCTCTGGACAGCCGTACTTCTTATATAAGGAGGTCAAGCTAGAGACAAATTCCATCCTTTTCTTTCCCACATTCCCACGTTATATTTCTAAGAATAATTTGTGTTCTGTTGTCAGCTTCCAAAGTAGACCAGGCAAGAAACACGACAAGGTCCCTACTTTATCGGAAGGTTATTTTAACACAATCTTGAAAACCTGAAGGTAGAAAACTCCCACTGTCTCTTTTACTGCCTGATAAGTTAGGTGGGGGGAGGTTTCTCTTTTTCTCTGCCCGTTATCCAGTTGTGGGCTCCCCTTCTGTTTATCTAAATTTTCCCTGGGCTGTATCCCTTCCTCTCCCCATCTACCAAGGTCATTCTCACACAACATTACCCAAACTGCAAAGTCACTCATTTGAGAGATAAATGAAATACATACTAAACATAAAAACTAAAACTCCATGGTTAATTGTTTTACCGGCTAACAGCTCTCAAGAAAGTATTTAAATTTCATCATAGACATTTTTCACTTGTGGTTTTCCCATGAGTACCAGATCCATTATCGACACCGTTTCCTCTGAGTACTGAACAGAATTTGAAGCCGTTATTTACTATGGAATTCAAATTTGAATCGATGCTCATTTGAATCCACAGAAAAGTTACCAAGGGTCACCAAGAAGCTAAGCAAGAAAGGAGGAAGATAATATTGCTAGATATAGAAGAGCAGGCAGAACTGAGGGATGGAGTTAAGCGAGTCATCAGCCTAGAGTCATTACGTTGTCACCAATGGTCTAAGCCTCTTGAATTTCTTTGACCCTTATCTGACAACCATTAAACTTTTTAAAAACTTTTTATTGGTTTTTAAGATGAACATAGACAAACAAAACAAAAACATCAAGCCATCTTCCACATATATATACATACAGTGTGCCAGTTGGTTTACAAATTGTTTTGTGCTTCCCTTTTGTAATCTTCAATTACAGTTACATTGTATATATTCTCATATTTTCAATCAAGTATTAAATACATTAATATCATTGTTAATCAATCATTTGACTATAGTTTTATTCATTCATGTTTTACGAATAATCATATTTTACTTAAATTGTTTTGTGACAGTTCAGATTATCATCTCAAATCTATCCTACAATCATTTTGTAGATGTAATAAGAAAAGAATATAACTTTATATATTTATTATTTTCTAAGAATCTACATATTTCATTACCATGCTTTATTTTCTAACCATTGATAGAATAGACCCCAGATTTTATAAAATTGTTTATCATCTTGTTCTCTGATTTCAAATGTCAATCTACTCATTTCAGCACATTCCAATATTTTCTTAATGATTTCCTCCTGTGATGGTATTTTCTCATTTTTCCAATTTTAAGCAAATACAATCCTAGCTGCTGTTAAAACATTTACAAACAGGTATTTCAATTCTTTACTATATATTTCAAGTAAAATTCCCAATAAAAATACCTCTGGTTTCAAATCTATATGCTTTTTTGTCATTTTTTCCAACCACGTGTGGATTTTAGTCCAATATTTTTTAGCATCTGCACAAGTCCACCACATACGGTAATATGAGCCAGGTGTCTGATGACATTTCCAACATTTTTCCGATTTGTTCTTGAACATTCTTGCTATTCTTGTCGGGGGGAAATGCCACCTGTAAAACATACAAATTTTCTTTATATGCTGTTGACATTGTCATTTTATAATTTTGAAACCACAATTTTTGCCGTTTTTCTAGATCAATCCCATATCCAAAATTCTTCCCCCAAGCAATCATTGTTTCTTTAACTTATTCTTCTTCTAGTTTAATTTCTAATAAATATCCATACAATTTTTAAATCACCTTTTCATCAGTACCTGTCAAAATCTTATCTAGATCAGTCAGTTTATCATAAAAACCTTCTGTTTTAGAGTCTTTATCATACCTTGAATGTATTTGCGCATATGAAAACCAATTCATCTTTATACCTTGTTCCTCTAATTTTTGTATAGATTTAATTTCACCCTTTTCATTCAATATTTCACCATATCTAACTGTTTGTTCCTTTTTATATATTATAGGATAAGAAAATGCTTCAATAGTCGATAGCCAGACTGGAATTTTCAAATAGCATTGTCTTTTAGTCTTCTCCCAGTTTAACCACAGAGACTCCCATATATAATGTCTTCTAAAATACCCCTGTGATTTAGTTCCTTTATACCATAGAAAAGCATGCCACCCCAACAACAGATCATGTCCTTCTAATGTCAACAATCTAGTGTTTCTTAATGTTATCCATTCCTTAACCCACATCAAATTTGTAGCTTGGTAATACAACTCCCAATTAGGCAAACCAAATCCTCTTCTTATTCTAGCATCTTGCAAAAGCTTTAGCTTTATTCTCGCTTTCTTTCCTTGCCATATATATGTCAACACGATTTTATTTAAATCTTCAAAGTAATCTTTTCCAAGCCTAATTGGAATTGTTTGGAACAAATATAAAATTCTGGGTAGTATATTCATCTTGATTGTTGATATTCTCCCTATTAATGACAGTTGTAAATTTTCCCATTTCGCCAAATCTAACGCTATCTGCTGCTTAAGTTTGATATAATTATTCTCTTTTAGTGTACTGCATCTTGCTGTCAAATGTATCCCCAAGTACTTAATCTTATTCGTTACCTGAATTTTCAATAGATCTGCCAGTTCTTCCTTTTGTCTTGATAGCATATTCTTTGTCAAGATCTTTGTCTTATCTTTGTTTATTTTCAAACCAGCCACTTTTCCACATGCCTCTATCTTTTCTATCAATTTTGATGCTGTTTCTAGTGGATCTTCTAAAATGAAAACCAGATCATCTGCGAATGCTTGCAACTTAAATTCTTCCTGTTTAATTTTCATCCCTTTTATATCCTTTTCTTCTCTAATATTTCTGTTTAGCACTTCCAAGGTTAACACAAACAAGATGATAGTGGGCACCCTTGTCTTGTTCCTTTTCTTATATCAATAGAGTCTGTCAGTTCTCCCTCTATCATTACCTTTGCCGTTTGCTTATGATATATAACTTCTATTGCTTGAATAAATTTTTTAGCAAAGCCCATCTGTTCCAGTTGTAATAACATAAATCGCCAATTCACATTATCAATTGCCTTCTGTGCATCTAGAAATATCAAAGCCATTTGTTTTTCAGAGTGTGCCTTGTAGTATTCCCAAGTGTCCAAGATTACTCTCATATTATCTTTAATTTGTCTCTTTGGCAGAAATCCATTTTGATCAGGAGGGATAAAATTGTTTAAGTATTTTTTAAGTCTTTCTGCCAATATTGAAGCAAAAATTTTATAATCTGCATTTAGTAAGGAAATTGGTCTATAGTTCTTGATTTGTAATGGATCGGCCTCCTCTTTTGGGACAAGTGTAATATAAGCTTCTGACCATGATTTAGGTATCTTCTTCTTTAACATAACTTCATTCATAACTTCTAGCAATGGAAGGTTCAACGATTCTTGTAGTGTTTGGTAAAATTCTGCCGGAAGTCCATCTGGGCCTGGTGCCTTTCCATTATTTTGCTTCTTGAGTGCTTCAGTTAACTCCATCATCCTTATATTGCTTTCTAACATTGTTTCAATCTCTTTAGGTATCTGGGGTAAATTAGCATTCTGTAAATACTGTTTAACTCTTTCCTCATCAATATTCTCTTGTGTGTATAGTTTCCCATAATAGTCTTGAATGATTTCCTTCTTCTCTTTACTACCATAGCAAACTTGGCCTTGGTCATCTATTAATTGCAATATTTTCCTTGATTCTTTCTCCTTTCTCAATTTATATGCTAACCATCTACCTGGTTTATTTGCATCTTCAAAATAGTTCTGTTTAGCACCTCTGATTTTCTGTGCTAATTCTTCTTTTTCTATTAGACCCATTTTATGTTTGATTATATCCATTTTTAACTTCATGTCTTTTTTTCTGTGGCATTTTCTGTAGCTCTTTTTCAAGTCCTTTATACTCATCCTCTAATGCCTTAGAGGCTAGTCTTTTTCATGGTATTACTTTTCTTTGTATAGTCTACTATCAAGCCTCTGGCATATGCCTGACATCCATTAAACTTTAGTTGACTCGGTTCTTGTATATAGGTTTGAGCAGTAAATCTTCTGAACTGCAACTTAGTGTATAACAGTAAAGGTTCCCCTCGCACATATGTGCTCATCATTTTCGACTCTAGGTGGTGGTGTTCATCTCCGTTACAAAGCCAAAGAGCCAGCGCTGACCAAAGATGTCTCCGTGGTCATGTGGCCAGCATGACTAAATGCCAAAGGTGCACGGAACACTGTTACCTTCTCACCAAAATGGTCCCTATTTTTCTACTTGCATTTTTACATGCTTTCAAAATGCTAGGTTGGCAGAAGCTGGGACAAGTAATGGGAGCTCACTCCATTATGCAGTGCTAGGGATGCAAACCGCTGAACTGCCGACCTTTCTGATCGATAAGCTCAGCTTCTTGAGCCAACGCACCCCTTAGTATATAGGCCTTGTTCTTTGTGCCTCAAGCCAAGGAGGAAGAAACAGCTAAACCATGTAATCCAAGGAACACAAATCTTTTAATGCTTCCGTGTTTACTCTTTTCACCTACCCACACACAACTCCCTCTGAAATTGTCTTGGCTTCCTTCCATTTTTAATAACCAGGATGTCAACGCTTCTGATAAGAATGACTGGAAACCTATACACAATGCTGCCTTCTACGGCCGGCTAGGCTGCCTCCAGCTTCTTGTCCGATGGGGAGCTACATTAGACGATGCGGATAAAGATGGAAACCTTCCAGGTATGGTAGGAGAAACATCCCAGTCATGCCAGAGGTGGTATTCAGCAGGTTCTGACCGGTTCTGGAGAACCGGTAGCAGAAATTTTGTGTAGTTCAGAGAACCGGCAAATCCCACCTCTGACTGGCCCCTCCCCCATCTATTCTGTGCCCCCCATCTATTCTCAGCTGGGTCTTCTTGGGTTGCCCTGGGCAGGAGAATGGAGCTGGAAAGCAGGTTAGTGGGGTGGGAAGGGAATGGGGACTTTGCAGTAACCTTCCCCCAGGAGTGGGGCGAGAATGGGGATTTTGCAATATCCTTCCCTTGCCACACCCACCAAGCCATACCCATCGAGCCACACCCACAAATTTTACCTTGGTAGTAGAATTTTTGGAATCCCACCACTGCTCAGAAGACACCGTTCCAAATTCCGAAAGGAAGAGCTTTCCCCATTTATGGTGGAGTTTATCACCCTTGCCAGGTTAAGTCCTAATCCCATTGAGGCCCACGGAGATTCTCAGTCACTCAGATTGTGGTTGTCTCAAAGGTGCTTTTTCAAAAGGCAGCTGGACGTCCCTTGGGCAGGGGTGTCAAACTTGATTTCATTGAGGGGCAACATCAGGGTTGTGTTTGACCTTGAGGGTGGGAGGCAGGGAGGGCCTGGATGATTGGGTGGGCATGGCCAGCCTGAAATCACTCGTGTTGAGGGGGACGACGACGCCTGTGGCATCCGAAGTGCTCTGCCAGTGAAAATGGGCTCCCAAGCTCCATTTTCGGCTGTGATGTCCTCCTACAACCCTCTGCCAGCAAAAGCGAAGTTCAGAGGGGCGCACGCAGCCCTTACAAGCTCTGTTTTCGGCCAGGCTCCTACAACCCTCAGTCATGAAAGCGGATCTCGGGGGGGGGGGTGCCCGGGGGCAGAGGCACCTCAGGCCGGTCCTTCGTAGTTTCCAGAGCGGCTCGGTGGGCCAGATCTAAGCTACCCATGGGCCGAATCTGGCTGCGGACCTTGAGTTTGAGAGAGACCCCTGTTCTTGGATTTGCCTTGAAGACATTTCATTTCTCATCCAAGAAGCTTTGTCCGTTCTGTTTGGCCCCAGCTCAGACAAGTCGGTTTTCTTCCTGCCTGGCTTTTCTTAAGGTGCAATTTTCACAACCATAGGCAGCTTTGAGGAAACACAACAGAGCGGACTATTTATTTATGCTTCATATATCTTAACTGCCCATCTCCCTTAGATGGACGGACACTCACACACAAACACAAACACAAACACAAACACACACAAGAGCTTCTGATACTCTGTAGAGATTTCTACAATGTGTTGTCTTATTGTGCAGCGGGATTACTCCCAGCAGGTTGCGTTGTTAACACAACATATCTAAAATATGTCAGCCTGGGGAAGGTTTGGTCCAGATTAGGTTGTAGGTTCATACCTAGAGTCCTGCATCCAGTTTTGGTCACCACACTATAAAAAAGATGTTGAGAAAGAATGCAGAGAAGAGCAACCAGGATGATTAGGGGATTGGAGGCTAAAATATATGATGAACAGTTTCAGGAACTGGGCATGGCTAGTCTAGTGAAGAGAAGGACCAGGGGAGACATGATAGAGGTCTTCCAATATTTGAGGGGTTGCCACAGAGAGGAGGAAGGGGTCAAGCTATTTTCTAAAGAGCCTGTAGGCCAGACAAGGAATAATGGATGGAAACTGATCAAGGAGAGATTCAAGCTGGAAATAAGGAGACAAGTTTCTGACAGTGAGAACAATCAACCAATGGAACAGTTTTGCCTTCAGAAGTTGTGGGAGCATCATCACTGGAGGCTTTCAAGAAGAGACTGGAGTCCCATCTGTCAGAAATGGTGTAGGGTCTCCCGCTTGGGAGAGGGGTTGGACTAGATGACCTACAAGGTCCCTTCCAACTCTGTTCTTCTGTCACTGTCAGATTAGCTCAAATGTGTGACTCATCTTTCTTATT